TTGAAAGAACTAAGCAACCTTCCGTACTCAGATTGTCTGAGTCAAGCTCGCATACGCCGAACGTGAATTCTGCTATCTATGTAAAAGAGCGGATCTGGAGCGCAGCAAATTGGAGCTAACCCGAGTGAGGCAAAGTTGGCGAAATTAGGGAGGTGAACCGCACGATTTTTTGCAAAGTTAGCGACATTTGATCGCCACCTCACCGGCTAATAAAGTTTAAAAAATCTGAACTCTTGTTTACATTCGCGTGGCAAAATCCAGTCAGGGACTGGATTTGGCTGCTAGCTACAGAGGCGGAGACAAGCTTATTAAAAATGGAAATAGAGAAAATACTGTTGACAAAGGGTGAAGTGAGAATGCTCTTAAAGCTTTTTAAAAAGCCGTATTTATTTAGCCCTTGATGGACCGTTTCTTCGTCTTACCTCCAGTGCAGACAGTCAAGGCCTTCTCTCCTTAACTTGCCACTGTCTGTCTGTCTGTCCCGGTTCAGTTTTTTCTCTGCCAGTTTTTTTCTCTCACTCCTTTCCAGCTGCTCCTGTCTCAGTTTCACCTAACCCTCTGATTACCGGGTGATTCATCCCCCCAAAGAAGGACAGCAGGGCCCCAAACTGAGTCGTGGAACGGTGGAAATGCCGTGGAAACCGGCTGTGATCTAGACCTAGCCTCTGTTTCAGTGGTGGTATCCCCCTATACTGGTTCCCATAAGCGTCGTTAGACCTATTTAAGGGTGGCTTCAGTCACCCTTTCTTTGGCATTAGCCACCCTATAATTATTTTGCGATTTTAAAAAAAATATTTTTTTTTTCTGTATTTATTTTTTCCTCATATTTTCCCAAAACAAATGCAGTAAAGCACCGAATAAAAGCCATAAAGAAGACAAGTTAATCTGAACAATCATAGGCGTAACTTCCTTAAGGACTGGTCTGGATTTTGTACACGTATTTTGCTTTGTGCTGTGTATATCTGTTGCCATAGAAACAGACAACAGCGCCAATATATCAGAATTATACTAAAACACACGCAAATAATTTCCCACATAAAAAACAGGACTTTCAGTCCATTACAGTTTTCCGTTTTTAGAGGGTTGTTTATTTTGCGTTTATTAAGTGATGGCTGTGGTATATTAGCTTTCACTGCTATAAGCTTTCGCAGCAGTGATTGATTAATTTAAACACCTGCTCTACTGATGGTCTATCGGAGTTGGTGTTTAGGTTGAACATAAAGAACACCTTTTATTTGAAGCTTCTTGTAGCTACTGTTTTAATCCCGGCTTCACTTAAAACCTTTTCCTGACCTTGATAGTGTTGCCATTCAGTAGCAAGCACTGCGCCCCTTTTTCTTTTATATGTACAAGTACATTTAAGATTTAGCGTGTTATGTTGACAACTCATGAGCAAGCTGCTTTTTGCAATCTAGCAGGAAGGTAAGAAAAGGATCTTGCAGGTGTGACGCCACTCTGCAGGGGGTCCAAAGATAAAAGATTTAAACAATTTTGGCATTGGAATTTCAGATTTAAGGGAGTTAGAAAGTTCACTTAGTAAAAGTGCAAATAATAAATCTGATTACAGATTACTTTTAAGCTGGTTGAACATACTGCGACTGGTGACCTGTCCAGGGTGATCCCACCTCTCACCCAGAACGTGGCTAGAGATATGCACCAGCACCTCCTGATCCCACTGAGGGATAAGGTTAAAGAAAATGGATGGTTGAACATAGTCCGCTCTCCCAGATTCTATCAAATCAGTATTGATACCCTCAGGGGCGGATTTAGGAAATTTGGGGCCCTAGGCAAAGACAGGCAGGGGGCCCCCTGAGAAGAAAACCCATAAAACAGACCCATTCTACAGATAGAGAAATGTTAATAGAATAGACATCCATTATTTGTTCTAGGTTTTGTCCCTCTCTTCTTGTCCCTTTTTCCTCTCTATTTATCAGCGTTCTGATGGCATTTTAGCCAAAGGATTTTTATCAAAAACATAATTAATGTGCACAAATAAGGATTAGTTGTATTAACCATACATGGAAACAGAGTTTTATGGGGCCCCCAGGAACTTGGGGCCCTGGGCAACTGCCTAGTATTGCCTAATGGTAAATCCCCCCCTGGATACCCTGCTAGTGGATGTTCTTGACAGAAAGACGGAGTTGCTTAATTATATTCTGCTTAAGGCCCCATAAGATCTTGTCCGAGTCCTGGTTTAAAAGTAAATTAATTTTAAAAAGTGACCCAAAATTGACTGTCAATAAATGTTCTACAAAATTGATATATTTATTTGATTTCTTTGATTTGTACTGTCTGTTTAGATTTATGTGATATTTTTTGCACAAAATATATAAGTGAATATTGTAACAGTTATGTTTTCAACTGTAAGCATTAAATTGATAAATGTTATTCGCATTTTTTTGGCTTTATCCTTTCCAACAAAAAAAAAAAGGCGTCGAGCAGGTAGCTCCCTTTCCTTATGAGCCGTCCCCACCAACTTTCAACACAAAGTTACACCCTTGTCTTAGACAACGCCTTAGCAGGTGCACTGAAAAAATTCGGCGCGCGCGTAGCGCAAATTATCTTCTAGGGGCTGAGCCACCCTTGTTTCTTAAACCTAGAGACGCCCCTGCTGGTTCTGTCTCTGGGAATCTGGTGAACCTGGGAAACTCCAACAGCTTTGTTCTGCTTTCAAAATAAATAAAAAAACACTGCCAATCGCCATGTCGACCCATGTCCACCATGATGAGGTGAAACCAACGACCATCTATGGCGTCACATCTATTTCAAAATGCCAGTGAGCAAAATAAACAGACTCGCATATATGTTGCACTACTTCTGAGCATGGTTTATCTACCACCACACAACAAAGCCACACGTGTGAGAAACTGGCGCTGCAAGAGGAGAAAATTGCTCTCCTTCTGACTGGACCTTGCAGACACAAACACATGAGAAGTAGTGTCAGGAAGCCTTTGACTGACAGCTCATCAACCATAAGTGAAGAGGACAGTGGCAGAGGCTTTTCCAATGTTTGCGTTACGTTGGATAAGTGATACATGTCAGTCAAAGGCTTCCTGTTCGTGTTGCTGGCCAGGCGAATTTCAAGGTGAGCAAAAGCAGACAAACTTTGCAGTTTTTGTGTTCAGTGTGAACGCACCTTAAGAAGATCTGCAGTTTTCTAACAATTTTTCTAAATTGTGTAACAAAATGAGTTGTTTCGCATTTTACCTATGTTAATTGGAACTGATTTAAACTGTATATCTACAACTGAACTAAAATAATTTTCAATTCAATTCAGTTTATTTCTATAGCGCCAATTCACAGCATGTCATCTCAAGGCACTTTACAGTTCAACCAGATCATACAGTCAAATTGATTCAAAGTTTTCTATCTAAGAAAAACCAGTTTATTGCATCGACTCATTGACTCGAATGCAATCCCTCACACTAAGCATGCTTGTAGCGACAGTGGAGAGGAAAAACTCCCTTTTAACTGGATGAAACCTCCAGCAGAACCAGGCTCAGTGTGAGCGGCCATCTGCTGAGGCCGACTGGGGTTCAAAGAGACAGAAGCAGAGATAGAAAAAGCAGCTGTAAAAGGCGGCCCCGTCCAGGAAACACACAGCCAGGCAGACGAGCTCTGAGCCAGCTCCTATGTCAGAGGATGAAGAGAGCACATCCAGTTAGTCACAGTCAGAGAATCAGGGCTACAATGGAAAAGAGGCCGATCGCCAACATCTATAAACAAGGGTGTTGTGTTGATGGAAGCAGCACAGCTGATATTTCTCTCCAGGAGAAATATCGCCGCGGACCCAGGCTCCAGGATGGTTTTCCTGGTACTCGTTTTTTTCATAGAATATAGAATAAAAAAATGACCTTTTAACTTTTTTAATTGGTTTGTTTTTCTAAAATAGAGACGAGCAAAAATAAAATAAAATATGCATATTAGTGATGAATCCGGCAACTCCAATTTGGCGGTGCATGTGTCGAGCTCTAGCAGCAAAATCCTGTGTCGGTGCGCATATCGTTTCAAGAAAGTCATATGGCGGATACGCAAGCTGTTATATGGCAAGCCAAGAGTGCCACTGTTTGCATCTAATTATCACGTTAGCATTAAAATTCACCCACTAAAAGCGCCCGTTTTCCAAAATTTCACCGCTTTTTTTGCCATCTTTTACTTACATGCGGCGCTTTTTACATCCGTCATGATGTTACCGCAAGACCCGCGTCCAAGACACGTGTAGTGACATGTCAAAACAGACATTCCTGATTCGGGGCTTGTCATCATGACGGACGTAAAAAGCGGTGCTTGCTGGTAAAAGACGTGAAAAAAAAATCGCAAAATGGGCGCATTTAGCTGGTGAGTTTCAATCTCAGTGTGATAATTAGACGCAAACAGTGGCACTCTTGGCTTGCCATAGTTTCAGACTGACTGATGCCCTAAACTGTCTTTATAAGTGCATCTGTTAATACAACAAATCTGCCAAAAAGAAAAACACCTGCTGGATCATCCTCAAGGAAAAAGAAAGGTTTTAGGGGAGCAGGATCATTCTGATCTCATATTGGATTTAATATTCTTGCTGTGTCATCCTGTTCCTCTTAGTTATCCCTCAACTTATCTGAATTCTTAGTTTGCTGTTAATAGTGTAGTAATCTTAAATAAATAAATAAATCCTAGTCCCACATGCTCACTTAAAGTTTACTGTTTTCTGTTCAAATTGATGGATTGTCTAAAAATTTATCTGAAAAGCAAACAATGGTTTTAAACATGAATTTAATATAGGACATCAAATTATCGTATCAAAACAAAAATCAATACAGTTTGCCAATGTGTCGAAACGCTTTGTGGACCCATCACTAATACATATGTGTATGAATAAAAAATATCCAAGGTATAAACTTATTATAAATATACATTTAACTTTGAATATCATATCGTTATTAAACTGTATGGACAAAAAAACCCAACTCCATCAATAAAGCAAATCGAACGCTAGGGGGCGACACAGAAAAACACAGAAGAAGAAGAAGATAATAAATGGTGACGGAGCCCAGTAGCAGTTAGCATCATGGCGGCGGTGCGCAGCTTGCAAGTCTCGGTGAAATCCGACAGCGGCTCGGAGCGCTCAGAGTCGGACTCTGACTCCGAGTCTGACAGAGATGGTCGGGAGGCCGAACCGATGGAGGTGGAGGAGGGAGAGCTGGAGCCGGAGGATGTGTCGGTTAACCGCTCCCTGAAGGAGCTGCTACCGGTGAGTGTCCGCCTGTAGGCCGCAGGCAGACCGGGGACTGGATTAGGATACAGCCGGCTGGGCGGTGTGAGGAAGCAGCATGCGGGGACACGGAGCACCGGCTCCTTCCGGGAGTTAGTCAGGCGCTGGTTAACTGGATTTAACTGCAGCACATTATAAAAGAGTTTGTCTATTATTCCTTTGCTCGTTAAAAACATAAAGAAAATAAAATAAAACGGTCAGCATGTAGAAAAGAGCTCAGCAGTTTAGTTTCTAATCCATGGCGTGGGTTGATCTCCTGCTGGGTTCCTCCACCAGGTTAGCTTAGAGATGTTTCTTGTTAAAAACAAACACGCTTGTTTGGCATTGACTCCATCCTGGAGAGAAATATCAGCTGTGCTGCTGCCATCAACACCTTTGTTTATAGATGTTGGAGATCAGCCTGTTTTTCCAGTGTAGTCCTGTTTCTCTGTCTGTGACTAACTGGATGTGCTCTCTTCATCCTCTGGCATGGGAGCTGGCTGGGAGTTCGTCTGCCTGGCTGTGTGTTTTCTGGATGGGGCGCCTCTTACAGCTACTTTTTGTGTCTCTGCTTTGTTTCCTTGAACCCCAGTCTGCCTCAGCAGATGGCCACTCACACTGAGCCTGGTTCTGCTGGAGGTTTCTTCCTGTTAAAAGGGAGTTTTTCCTCTCCACTGTCGCTACAAGCATGCTTAGTGTGAGGGATTGTATTCGAGTCAATGAGTCGATGCAATCAACTGGATTTCCTTAGATACAAAACTTTGAATCAATTTGACTGGATGATCTGGTGAACTGTAAAGTGCCTTGAGATGAGATCTGTTGTTAATTGGTGCTATAGAAATAAACTGAATTGAATTAAAACTTCTGCTGCATCCTGTCTGATTTGCAGGACACCAGCCGAAGGTATGAGAACAAAGCTGGAGCCTTCATCACTGGGATCGATGTGAACTCGAAGGTAAACCCAAACATCCGTCATCTAACCAAACCCTAGGAAGGACAGGATGAGTGCAGCACCTCTGGAGCTCCGCTCATTAGACGGAGAGGATAACTGAGGCCCCGTCCACACGAAGTCAAAACGAACACGAAACGCTGATATTTTCCAAAACGTTTGTCGTAAAGACGGAGACGTAAAATAAATGTGATGGTCCACACGAATGCATGAAAACGCTGCAAAATGTATGCCAGGCCTGTAAGTGGCGCTGTGGTGCCAAAGCAAAAATAGGCAACGAAATGTTGGGCATGCGCACTAATATTTATACATGGTTGCCCTGCGGGTCCATATTCGTGGTTTAGTCAAATTCAGGTGCTGAACTATGTCGTCGATATTGCTCTGTTCTTCCTGGAGATATTCCAGAAGAAGAAGATTCTGTTGTAAGCCCGACAGCAGGGTGAGTAGCATGAGCAGCAACCATTCAACACAGTACGGCGCCAATGTTGTTGTGATACTGTGTCGCGCATGCGTGTTTAGAGGCGACGCTATGACGAATGCGTGTAAAAAAAAAAAATGCGGTTAGAGCTTAAAGATGGATACGCGAAAACGGCGTTTCAAAATCTTCCCACTCTGAAGGCTGAATAAAAAAAGACCGTTTACAGACCCCCGAAACGCCGGCTTCGTGTGGATGAGAGGCTGGTTTGGTGAAAAATTTGTGCGTTTAGGCCAGGGTTCGGCTTCGTGTGGACGGGGCCTGACTCTGGGCTTCTTAGGGCTCTAAGAGGGGTCGTTAGGGGCTTGTCATTATCCTCATAATGTGATCCCTGAGGAATATAAAGTGTATTTTGCACATGTAATAGAGGTATATTAATTTAGGAAATGAATTTGTTGTTTTTCTCTCCAATGTTTTTAAACATTGTTTTATTGTTTTTTTTTTTTGTTTTTCTCTTGCATGTTCGAAAAAAAAAAGAAAAAAAAGTTAATTCAAAGTACTTCCCTTTGTATTTGTAGATAATATAAATTTAAGTTACTAGATGTATATTTTTGGCTCGCAAGCTGAAATAATTTAGGAACATCTGCTTCAAATGTGTTAAATTTCAGAGAAAAAAAACTGCTCTGGAAATGTAAACAAACTTCCTGAAGCTCAGGGTGGTGGGAACTCTGAGGAACGATCCCTCCTACTGAAGCTCAGTGGCTCTAGTTCATTTCCTCCAGACTGTTAACTAAATAATGAAGCGATCCTGAAGTTGGTTTGAGATAAATGGCTAAGAAAGGATCAAAGTAAACTCAGACAAACTGGGTGTTTAAATAAGGACAGATTGGAGTATTAAATGTTGATCATGTCTGAAAGCAGCCCGTCTGCTCTAACCTCATAAGATGTTCCTCTCTTGTTAGTGCTAAGTCTGCTCACCAAAAGCTGAGTTTTTTCAGCAATAATCATTTTGGTGTCCAAGTAAAGCTAACAGCTGCTGTCGATTTACACTGCAAAAATTATAATCTCAATAAGTCATTATTTTCTTAAAATAAGTGCTTTTTTTTCTTGAATTAAGGAGGTGAGACACTTTGCCAATGGAGCAAGACAGTTTACATTTAATAAAAAAAAAAAATGGTTTTCTTATTTCAAGTGTATATTAGCTAAATATCTTGTTTTAGGAGTAAAAATACTCATTCCATTGGCAAAGCATCTTATTTACCTGCTTAAATTAATGGTAAATGCACTTCATTAAATACATTTTTACTCATTTTTAGATAGTTTTTTGCAATGTAGAAAATAAAATTAAAAACAATAGATCCACTCGTTAAGTGTACCTCTATAGACTGGTGGAGCAGAGATGAGCTGAAGCAGATATTCAGATGTTTCTGTAAAGTAAAGTAGTTCCTTGTTTTTGTTTTTTTTCTATTTTCAAGGTTAATTAACTTTAAGATTGTTCATATAAAATCCAGATATTTCGTTTCTACCTGGTTTCAGCTAAACAGACAAACTGAATTCCACCCTTATTAAGGACAATGATTTACATTAAGATTCCATTTTTTTAGCGTTTTTGTTGTTTGTAGATATAAATAATAAGTTCTGACGTTTCTCTTATTGCCTTTCTGTGTTAAACTTTGAGAGAACTAATGGGAATGAACCTAAAAAGGGAAACGGGACCAGGCTTCAGGCTCCAGAGGTTCATTTAACCTGACATCATCATCACATGACCAAACAAACCACTGCTTAATGTTCTGTGCGACCCTTTTTGCGCTGCAGGAAGCCATTGAGAGGAAGGAGAAGCGGGCCAGACGCTTCCATTTCCGCTGTGAGGAGACGGTGGCTCAGAGGAACGTCTTCCTGGATAAAGAGGCGATGAAGAAAGGTGCGAGGCGGCGCCCTGTCTGCTCATGCTCGCCGACAGGGAGCTGCCGCCGTTCTAACCTTTGGTCTTCTTCTGTGGTGCCCAGCCATCCCCAGGCTGCGGATGGAGGCGATCCACGTGACGGGCGTGGACGACATGAGCACCCAGGACGTCTTCGGCTACTTTAAGGAGTATCCTCCAGCGCACATCGAGTGGATCAACGACACCGCCTGTGAGTCCAGAACACGGTCAGAACCAGGCGGGTTGTGGGCTCAGAATCACGGCTGCCAGTTGGTCCCAGCTGGGACCAGAACCGCTGACTGGCATAACTGGGTCAGATCAGTGGTTCTTCACCAAGAAGCTTTCAGCAGAACATTTTAGCAGAACATTTGGACCCAGAATTGAAAGAGTCCATTTAGCTGGCTGGTTCCATGCTCGGAACCGAACCAGAACCTGGTTTTTCACCTGCTCCGATCCGTAGAAACCCTTCCAGGAGTTTCTCATCGGGGAGTAGAGATGAACATCTATCTGAGTTGGGTCAGAACCTCATGTTCTTGTTGTCAAACAGGCTGACAGCATGATGCTGCCACCGCCGTGCTTCACGGCTGGTTTCCCCTCTGCTGCCTGCCCAGTGGTCTCTGATGGTCCATGTCAGGTGTTGGTTCTGGTGCTGGAGCTTCAGTCTGGGTTCAGTTCACAGCAGCCCTGACCCGATGGTCAGGGTGGCTTGTTCTGCAAGCTGCTCCATCATATTCCTGTTCTGAAAACTTCAGCTCCACCTGCTGGCAGGTCCAGGTTCTGGGTTTATCATTTGGGCCCGATTGGACCAGAGAAAATCCTTCATAGTTTATACTTCCTGTTTTATAAAGGTTCTGGTTCTGATGAATCCCTGAAACCAGAAATAATAGCGATTGACTTGAACCTGCTGTCCTGGACCAGAACTCGAGCTCGCTCCTAATTCCCAGTCTAACCGTTTCCTAGGTAACGTGGTTTGGCTGGACGATGACACGTGCATCAGAGCTCTGATCAACGCCAGCAGGATGCCTGACCCTGAGGCTGTTGCCACGGAGACTGAGTCCAGAACACATCCCGACGACCCGGGCAAAGGTCAGTTCGAACCAGAGGCTGTTTCTCAATGTGTGTACTTGTGCGTTCTCGTGAAACGTCATCACCCTCAGCCTGAGTTCCAATTCACAACAACAAGAAGACCGAGAACGAACAAAATCCCTGGATGTTGTTCTCAGCCCTCTGTATTTAGATTCACAGCTGTCCCAGCATGCACTGCGGTGGCAGCAGCTTCCAGTGGAGCGCTCACAGAGCTCAGAGTATTATGTTAAAAGTTCTCTCTTTTTTTTTTTTTTTTGCCATTCAATAAAGTACTTTTTAAGATTATTTGAGGCAAGAACAATATACTTTTAAGCGTCACTATATGGCCCATTTACTAATTTAGTGCGTAATTTAACAAAAAAAAAAGGTTCCAATGTTGAGTGGACCATGGCAGCCAGCAGACCTCCGAGGCTAGCAGCAGCCCGTCTGCAGCAGCGCGTCTGCAGCAGCGCGTCTGCAGCAGCGCGTCTGCAGCAGCCCGTCTGCAGCAGCCCGTCTGCAGCAGCCCTCTCTTGGCATAGCTGTGTGTGAAGGATGGCTGGCTATGACGGTGATCTTTTTTGTTTTATTTGGCAAAATGTAAATTTGATTTGTGTTTATGTGACTCTGTTCATTATTATTCTCCCACTAAATGGAAAAAGTAAGAATGTATTATCTTGAGAATGCGGTGACATCACGAGTGCGCTTCTGTTCCAATTGTCCCATATTTATTCTGCGGCTCCCGTTTTCTATGAGTCCAAACCTTCCTGTTTTCTTGTCAATAACACACTTGGGTTGGTTATCCTTCCCCAGCCGTGTATCGCAGCGAGCTGGTCGCAGATATTTTTGATTTATGCCCAATATTGAAGCGTGGCCTGCGCTGTTATTCCACGCCACAACGCAAGAGGGACGATCTCGAACTAGCAGTGGGTCTAGTTACAGCCGAGGCGGTGAGGAAGTGGGGGCAAGTTTGTGCGACATCGGAGGGACATGAGGGTGAAAAAGAGCGGCGATCCAGGTGGGAAAAGGGTCCCAGCGTTCTTTCACATCTCGCTCTTCTAGCTAATACATCTTCACGAATCGTTTTCCACAATGGCGATCATACAAACAAAACAAGCCGGTAAGGCACCAAACAGGAAGTACCCATAGTGTAGAGAGGATGTAGATCTGACCAATCAGAGACCTCCTGTCTGCGATCACCTACAATTTTGGAGAGGGGCAGCAGAGTGTCTACTGAAGGGGCGGGACATATCTACGTTAACTACAACGCACACGCAGACAGCCTGGTTTCTAAGCATAAATCACCTTTAGTGAGGAAATGAGTCCGTGGTCACGTTCTTGTGAATTGAGAAAGGGCCTGAGTCTGTTCCGGCTAATGCTGCAGTGCATTCTGGGTAACTGTGTGCTGTTTGAACGGTGCAGCTCCTCAGGCCCAAGGATCCGAAGACGAGGATGAGGAGGAGAAGGGTGAGGTGGATGAAGAGGAGGAGGAAGAGGTGAAGAAGAGTGTGGACAATGAGGGGACGAAGGTGGAGGCTGGACAGGTAAGGAGAAGCTGATCTGTGAGGGCAGGCGGCCGGTTTGACCGAGCTGATGAACACCTGCTGGTAGCTGAAGGTTTAATGAGAGAGAAAAATGTTAGAGATGAAGAACTCTGGTCAGAAAAACACGTCTGATTACTCAAGATATTATTGAACAGACACACAGACTGAGAGAAAAATCCACCCGTTTCTTTAGATATCCAGCAACGTTTCCGTTGCTCGCTGCTCCTCAGTTACCAGGCTGTCATGCTGGAGGAAACGCAATTAAACCTTTTGTCATCCAGACTATTTTTGGCTGATCTTGGCTTAAATTTATCAATTTCAGTCGATTAATTCATGTGGTGGAGCTCATGCATCACCCCTTCCACCATCTGCAGACAATTGTTAACATCTTGATTTGTCAATAAAGGTTTTTGTATTGTTCAGAAACCTCTGTAACATTTATCATCCCGTCGTTTTTAATCATTCAAAAGCAGGAAAAGCAGCATCAACCTAGGGCTGGGCGATATGAGGAAATTCTAATATCGCAATATATTTGGGCGATAAGGCAATACACAATATATTTCACTATATGTTTAAATGAGCTTCAAAAACAATAATGCATACACTGATATACTCATTCAAACCTTTGGTTTCAAATAAAACATTTTATTTTAACCAGATCAAAGCGTTTCACTAATAATGCTGCCACATGATGTATTTCTGTTACAGTATCACAGCTTTAACAAGATCCCAACAACCAAACAGCAAATAAAGCAAAACATGCAATACTAAATAAACTGCAGAATAAACAACAGCACTTTGTGCATAATAAAAAAAAAGCAGAATGAAAAAAGAAATTGACCTCAAATTACAAAGACAAAAGTGGAAGTTCTGTCCAAAAATATGAGCATTATTAGAGCATCTCAAAACTTTGCATTTATCGTTCTGTGTTGGGAATTTTAAAGAAGCTCGATAAACAAATTATCGGCTTCACAGCTGATTTATTTAACATTTTAATTGGTGAGCAGGGAGACGCTGACATGCAGGGTTTACAACATTCATTTTGCTGCGCATCACTTTTTAGTCGATGGAATAAATTTGTACTCATACCTTTTGCAGCAATAGTTTTTGAGGCACGTCCTTCAAATGACCACCTTTTGTTCAACGTCCTCGCCGTAAAATCCAAACTACTGCCATATATTGCTCAGCTGAAACACCTGCTGTCGCCATATTTTGTTTGTTTGAGAAAATAATCCTGTTTAGAGGAGGGGTTTATGATGCGTTCGAAGTGTGTGGGGAAAAATAAAACTCTTAGTGAAATAGATGCAGATGACTTAATGTTGTCATGCGACTTCGTACTCGATGGATGGGATAGTCATTTTAACTAATGGCGTAGGATAACTTGAGATACGAGTATATTTGATATATCCCCCACCCCCACATCAACGTACACAATCGACCCCAAACATCAGCAGCAGATCTGAGGGATTCCCTTAAACTGATAAAAAATTTACTTTAACAAACTATTATCTCTTGATGTCTAGTAAAGAGGAAGACATGAGAGGAAAAGCCATGCAGGTGTAAACTGCTGAACTCACTTTAATCTATCATGCGCTAAATGGCCTAATCCAGAGGTCTTCAACAGGGGGTCCGCGACCCGTAAGGGGTCCACAGAGGTACTGCATGGGGATTGCGAATATTTTCATTGATCAGACTTTTTTATATATTCCCCCCTGCATTTTTTTCCACTAATTGAAATGTCTTTAAATCCACATTAACATGAATTCAACACACTGTAGTAAACAGATAAATGGAGGCAGAAGATGTCTTTCAGTCATTAATGCACACATTCAGCGACACACAGGAGCTCTTTCAAGCTGGGCACCGTTTCATTCACAACACCTGTCCCATCAACCAGGAATCGGAATCAGAAATACTTTAATAATCCCAGGGCGAAATTACTTTCATTAAATGACTCCGTCTGTAATAGAGTGACTATAGGACCAGTATGATATAACAGTTTCATACAATATATATAATTAGGGGGTCCCTGCTGCATCTCACCATCAGTTTGGAGGTCCATGGCCTGGAACATGTTTGATGGCATAAAGGATTGAAGGAAGTCATGCATTTCAAAGGATTGTGTGTGTCTCAGGTGGAGGACCTGTCCCGCGCTGAGAGGGAGTCTCTGCTGAGGAACGAGCTCAGACCGGCCATCAAACCGTTCAAAGGAAACAAGCTGTTCCTGCGCTTCGCCACTCAGGGTAAATAAAACACTTCCTGTCACTGCTCACCTGATGCATCTGAACACTTTTACGCTTTGCAGAACCTTGCATGCATTAAGCCGGGCATACAAAGTATGATTTTACATTTTTTTTGTGCAAGAATTTATCAATCAGGCTGAATTTCAGCCTGATCGTGACTCGTGTGGTGTACAGCGGGTAACGAGGGGAGATCAGCCTCTCATGACCACCTCCTGATCAGGAATCGTGAGGTTGGAAGAAAATCAAACATGTTTGATTTTCAGTCAGTCGTCATGGGGATATCGCTCTGCGTGTGAACAAGTTTATGTCCGGCTTTAGAAGTAATGCAGCGGTTTGGGTCAGATGTTCTGTAGCAGAAACATCCAGAATCCTGGGGTCCACGGTTTAGAACCGCTGGTTGACCTGAACCATTAAGGCTGACAGAAATAAAACGAAAAAAGTGAGCAGATAAAATGGACCAGTTCTCCACTCTCCCAGTGTTAACATCAGACTGGTTTTCCTTGTATGGAAACCTTTGGACCTTTAATCTGACTATATGATCTGGTTGAATTGTCTCTACAGTCATGGCCAAACGTTTTGAGATTTGATTCAAATGTTAATATTTACAAAGTCTAATGCTTATAACGGCAATTTGCATATGCTCCAGACTGTTCTAAAGAGTGATCAGCATAACAGCAATTAATTACAAAGTCAATATTTGCCTAGAAAATGAACTTTATCCCCAAAAACACATTTCAACGTCATTGCAGCCCTTCATTGAAAGGACCAGCTAACATTGTTTCAGTGATTGCTCCATTAACACAGGTGTGGGTGGTGATGAGGACAGGGCTGGAGATAAATCTCTCATGATTAAGTAAGAATGACACCACTGGACACTTTAAAAAGAGGCTGGTGCTTGGCATCATTGTTTCTCTTCTGTGAACCATGGTTATCTCTAAAGAAACACGTTCATTCATCATTGCACTGCACAAAAATGGCCGAACAGGAAAGAGAATCGCAGCTAGAAAGATTGTACCGCAGTCAACAATCAAGGAGGTTGCATTATTGCCAAAAAGGCTCCAGGGCGCCCAAGAAAGACCAGCAAGCTCTAGGACCGTCTCTTAAAAGTGTTTCAGCTGCGAGATCGGGCTACCAGCAGTGCAGAGCTTGCTCAGGAATGACAGCAGGCAGGTGTCAGTGCATCTGCACGCATTGTGAGGCGGAGACTCTTGGAGCAAGGCCTGGTCTCAAGGAGGGCAGCAAAGAAGCCACTTCTCTCCAGGAAAAACATCAGCGACAGACTGATATTCTCCAAAAGGTACAGGGAGTGGACTGCTGAGGACTGGGGTAAAGTCACTTTCTCTGATGAATCCCCTTTCCCATTGTTTGGGACATCTGGAATACAGCTTGTTCGGAGAAGACGAGGTGAGAGCTACCACCAGTCTTGTCTCATGCCAACTGTAAAGCATCCTGAAACCATTCATGTGTGGGGTTGCTTTGCAGCAAAGGGAGTCGGCTCTCTCACAGTCTTACCTAAAAACACAGCCATGAATAAAGAATGGTACCAGAATGTCCTCCGAGAGCAACTTCTCCCAACCGTCCAGTTTGGTGATGAACAATGCCTTTTTTCAGCATGATGGAGCACCTTGCCATAAAGCAAAGGTGATATCTAACTGACTCAGGGAACAAAACTGAGATTTTAGGTCCATGGCCTGGAAACTCCCCTGATCTTAATCCCATTGAAAACTTGTGGTCAATCATCAAGAGACGGGTGGACAAACGAAGACCTAGGAATTCTGACAAAATGCAAGCATTGATTATGCAAGAATGGACTCCTATCAGTCAGGATTTGGTCCAGAAGTTGATTGAGAGCATGCCAGGGAGAATTGCAGAGGGCCTGAAGTACAGGGGTCAACACTGCAAATATTGACTTGCTGCATTAACTCATTCTGTCATTAAAAGCTTTTGTTACTCATAATATAATTGCAATTGTATTTCTGCATGCAATGACAACATCTGACATACACACATGAAAACCAGAGGGAAGCAGATCATGTGAAAATGTAATATTTGTGTCATTCTCAATACTTTTGGCCATGATTGTTTAAATTGTCTTAAGATGACATGTGAATTGGTCCCATAGAAATAAACTGACTTGAATTGGGTCAGCTCAGTCAGAGATCTGGTTCTGGTTTGAATGCAGTGGACCCGGTTTCTCATTTCTCTTTTTCCCGCTCAGACGACAAGAAGGAGCTGGGAGCGGCTCGCCGCAGCAGATACTACATGAAGTATGGGAACCCCAACTATGGAGGCATCAAGGGAATCCTCAGCAACTCCTGGTGAGGCCACACGCTGTTCAGCCATTGGCTGCTCTTATGTTTCCGTGGAAACCTAAACACCCTTTTTTCTCTGTGGAACAAAATATCAACATAACCTCTGTATCCCATAATGCTTAAAGTTTGACAGGTGGCCTAGAAGAACCAGAATCAGTGGTTTCCCTCAGAGTAGTTCCTCCTGTTAGAACTGAAGCAACACAGGGTAACCTTTGACCCTGAGATTAGCCTACTCTGAAATAGATTAAATGATCCATCTTCATCATCTGACTCAGAGCACTGCTTTCCGTCAGTCTGAGCTCTCCTTGAACAACACAGCTAACTAAGCTAACAGCTGTTAGCTCTGACCCTCAGCTGATCAGACATGTTTCTGGTTCTTTGATGGAGGATTTCATCCAGAGGGTGAATATTTCCTCGTCAGGAACTCCAGGACTGCTGGAGCTGGCCAAACTGGTCCGATACCAGAACCAGGACACAAACTGGTTCATAAACAGACGGGTGCAGTGGTCAGGCGCTCCCCCTGGTGGTTAGAAGTTGAGGTGTAGCTTTAAAGGTCCAGTCAGCAAGAATAATCCATCGATCATTATCTATACCTAAAACTAATATGTTTTCTGTGATTTAATGAATTTAGCATTAATCAGTGAAAAAATAAAATAAATTTTCGTTGCGATCACCGAGTCTGGGAGTGGCCATTTTTGCTCAAATATAGTAACACGTCACACCTGACATCTTCCAGCAGTGACGTCGCGGTGCGGTTAGCCTAGCGCCATTCTCCGCGGTTTACAAGCAAAATCTGTTGATATGCAATCAACAACAATTATTGAAGATTTCCAGAGGACTTCACCATTGAAATTCACCAGAGCTATAGTTAAACTGACAATGCCCACATGCATGGCAGCTGGATGTTGGAATACATCCTACGGACAGGTTCGTCGTTGGATTGCCAACTTGAAGAGGGAGGATTTGCCATCGAACTTCTAGCCAGAGAAAAAACACGTATGTATGTAGCCAACATTTGGAAGAAGAACGTTTTCAAGATGACTTGGATAATAGCGCGTTGTGACAAACACCAGATACAGCACTGGGACTTGATCAACAGCCGATACCGCGCCGTCACAAACCAGTAGGTGGCAGTAGTGATCTTGGACAAACATGGATGCCTCCAGTCAAGCTATGAAAATCATTTATTGAACAGTATGTAATAATTTTATATTGAAAATACTTTCAGAAGTTTCAATTCTGAATATAACCGAACTTCTCCTTTCAAAAAGAACAGCGGCCCAGCACAGGATCATGAACTGTTACTACGAGACATAAATACCAAATCTACTTTTTGATCAAAAGTTTTTGTTCAGTATTGGTTTTTCTTCCTGAACTGACTTGATAAAATTATAAATTATCCAAGAGACTTCATTTAAACAAGAAATAAATGTTTATTAAAACCAAAACTTTATAAATAAAAGATGGAGGAAGCAGCAAGGCCTGAGCTTCAATCCACTGATCTGCCGGTGAACATGTGACGTAGCGACCAGTAAAAGGAAAAAAAACAAAAGCTAATTCAGTCTATCTCAAATTTTACTGCATTTCTTATTTAATATGTTGTTTTCCCCATTAGTATAATTATATAATGAAAATATATAATCAATGATAATGTTTGTAACAGAGATCAGCTGCAGTTCAGTTGTTAACCTCAGGTTAGACGCTAACAGTTGAGACATGCAGCAGAAATCAGGAAGTTTCCAGATAGTCCATTGGATTCTAATCAGATTAAATCACTGTTTATGTCTGGAAGTTTGTTTCTACATCTGATTGGGGCGGTCCATAGGGTCCAGGACAGGCTAAAGGGAAGCCGCTCCACCTGCTGGGTTTCCCAACTGAATTTTTTGTAATGTTACCGTCGGGTTGTGGAACCCCTGCAGGGATTCTGATTGGCCCTTCGGCCTCCAACTGTTTCCTGTCTGTCTGATCAGGAAGAGGCGCTACCACAACCGCCGCATCCAGCGGGACGTCATTAAGAGCAAGAAGCCTCTGATTGGGGACAGCATGGGACACACCCCGCCGTACACCCACCGACACTCCGGTAAGACGCCTTCCCTGACGCCCAGCGGCCCATTAAAGGTTGGCTCTGTTACCCAGAATCCTCTGCTTTGTCCTCAGCTGACCTGGTCAACCTGCCTGAGGAGCCCATCAAAGAGGAGGAGGAGGAAGATGAAGAGGACGACGACCAGGGTGACGAAGACATGGACTCTGACGACAGGGTGGTGGAGTACAAGGAAAGAGGAGACGGATCTCGCCCGCTGGGGGCGGGGATTCGGAGTCGGGTGGAGCGTTCTCCTTCTCCGTGGTCAGAGTCTGACGAGATGGACTATGACCTGGAGCTGAAGATGATCTCCACACCGTCGCCCAAAAAGAGTAAGAAGATGACGATGTACGCAGACGAGATCGAAGGTCACCTGAAGAACATCCGGTGAGACCCCCACCCCACCCGTTCATGCATGTTCGTCTTTTTCCGCCGTTTACAGCGGTGCAGCTCTTTCCAGGCTGCATCTGCAGCTGTGGTTACAGTGAAGCGTCTCCTGACTCCATAAAGCGCTCCACTAGTTCAGAACATTCATAAACTGGTGAATTGGCTTTGTCCCAATCATTCAGAACCTCACCTTATCCGGGTTTACTGGACACGCCAGAACCACATTAAAAAATGAAAACTTCAGATCTTTCTAGAGCTCCAGCCACACAGAGGAGCCTCAGCAGAAAAGTCCGGTCAGAGGATTAACCAGAACCCTGTTCCCCTGAAATAGGAACCGGATTGGAGGGTCAGGATCACAGAACCGGGTCAAGGCCTCTTCACCCCCTAAGGTGACCGACGTCCGGCAGCTTCTGGAGGAGAAGAGACAGGGGAGCTCTCAGCACAGACGGCGCTCCCCTGTGGCCAGCAGCGGGAGGACAGGTGAGCTGGTAGATCTGGGTGTCCCAGGCGTGGGTCCGGGTGTCCCGGGCGTGGGTCCGGGTGTCCCTCATATTTATCCTTATAAGGAAACCTACCTTTTGTCTCTGCAGACGTCAGACAGCGGCTCGGAAAGAGACGCTTCTCCCCAGACAGACGGCGCTCTCCGTCCCCAGTCTCTCCTAGAGACACGCCCCCAGCCAGGGAGCCAATCAGAGACGTGCACCGTCGGCTGGGCGTGGCCAGCCAGGACAGCAGAGGAACCTACACCAACGCCTCTAAAGACAGGAAGTCGAGTATGGATTCTATCTGATTTTGTTGCTCCAGTAAATGTTCTGAGCGGGAATCTGTTAAAACTTTAATCTACCATCAGATAGAACGTCCTGATTTAAACCTGGAAGAGTCTGGAATTGGACTCTAGAGCTTTCCAGGTCTGGATCAGTTAGAAGTTAACCACCTCCTTCCTACCCTGCTTCCTCCTCTGTGTCCTTTCTTTCCCTCCATATTGATTTTGTCCTCCCCTCCTTCCGTGTGTCCGTCCTTCTTTCATTCCGTGTGTTCTTCCTTTCCATGTATCTCTGTCTAGGAATGATCTTTACGCTCCTTGTGTCCTTCAGTATCAGGGCTAGAAAATGAGTGGGAGGAACTGAGAACTCTGTAGAACCTGGAGGAACCAGTTCACCAGGTTCAGACGTTCTGGACAGGGAAATAATCCTCTTTTGGTTCCTTTATTCTGCCTCAGAGATTTGCTCTCCAGGCGAATGTGTTGATTGAAGTTCACTTCCTGATGTCACGGCTTTGAAACCGTTTCCGTTTGGTCCTCTGACCCCTGCTTGTTTCTGCAGGCGCTGTGTGGAGCAGACTCGGTTCTGGCAGTAAAGATGACGGCAGCACCGGCCATCGCAGCCGCCGGGAGGGGGGGCGCTCAGACCGGCAGGATGGCAGCAGCAGGAGGCGGGACGACGGAGAAGGAGAAGAGGAGGAGGAGCGGGAGGAGGAAGACGACTCAACGCTGCAGAAGGTGTGGGGCGCCATGATCAAACAGAAACAGGAGCGCCGGAGCCACAAGATCAAGAAGAGCCGACTGGACAACCTTCCGTCGCTGCAGATCGAGATCAGCCGCGACAGCAGCGAGGAGTCGGACGCCTGATCCCGTGAGGCGGCGTCGAACACCATCATTGATCATTCCTGTTACCGTTGAGGAGCTGAACTCTGAGGAGGAGCTTCCTCCCTGCAGGGAACGCCACGGTGCTTCCCATCAGGACCAGGACAGAGCGACGGGTCGCATCAGAACAGCAGAACTGAAGCCGACAGCCTCCTCCAAAAATTTTTTTTCCAGTTTTGTTTTTTGTTTTCTTTCTGTATGTAAATGATTGGCTTCAGTTACTCTGCTGGTTACCGGAACATTGCTGGTATCAGGAAACAGAAGGCTCTCCTGCTTTAACCACGTGGGTCCACGGCCGCCATGTCCAGACATTAACATGAACTGATGGTTCCTCTGTGCTGATCCAGTTTAAACCGATGGACCTCCTGAGCCCTGCAGCCGCCCAGCGCCGCTCACTGGGCTCAGCTGTTCCTAAACAAAACGTTTCAACCACAGAATCGGTCAGAACTTTCACTCCACCTGGTTTCCTTTTGATCCTTCATTTCATACCAGCAGATCCGTTTTCATTGGTTCCAGTTTTTCTTCCTCCTCCTGCCGCAGTCCAACCCAGCAGAGGAGATCTGAGGGCTTATTTACACCACCTCCATTTACAAACCGCCGTGATCCGTTAAAAAATCAGACTGCGGTGTCGTCTGAGCCGTTCGTACGCAGGGATTGGAGACAGCTGGGAACCGAAGTTACCTGCATCCAGACGGCATCATTATTCCTCAGACATTTAATATAACTCATATGAAACTGTAGATCAACTTCACTGAATCTGAAACTGCAGCGTGTTTTATATGCTGGCACTACTGAGCCGACCCGTTACAGAAATAAAAATGTTTAATAAAGCAGCTTAAACTGTAAGTCTGCACCATATTTAAATGTTTTCTGTCCCTGATTTCTTCAGACTGAGTCGTTCCACAGATCAATACATTAATGGAGCACGGAGTGAGGAGGAGGTCACCACTGCTGGAAACATTGAAAACTCCTTTAAACACCAGTAGTGCTTGATGGATGGGACTGCTGGAGACTATAAATGGGAGAAAACATGTTTCTAGAAATAGACCAATTACCTGGACCATGATGGGCTTTAATTAATAAGGCTGATTTATACTTTGAAACCGGGTCGTCTGCGTGTGTGTAGCAGTTAATGCAGATATGCTCCTCCCCTTCCGCAGACACTCTGCTGCACCTCTCAAGAATTGTATGTGACTGCAGACAGGAGGCCTCTGATTGGTCGAATCTTCATCCGCTCTACACTATGCGTATTTTTTGTTTGGAACCTTACCGGCTTGTGATGTTTGTATGACCGCCACTGTGGAAAACGACTCGTGAAGATGGACCAGCCAGAAGCGAGAGAACACTGGGACCGTTTTTCCACCTGGATCGCCGCTCTTTTTTGCCCTCATGTCCCTCCATTGTCGCAAAAACTTGCCCCCATTTCCTCAGCGCCTCGGCCTTACCTAGACCCACAGCTAGTTCCTGATTCTCCCAGACCTTTAGAGTCCTTGGAGCAGCAGCCCTGCCCATCATAGGAGGTAAAGGTAAAGTGGAGAATGTTCTGTTTCCAGGTGGATCAAAATAAGTGGTCCTACTAATTGTCAATCATTGGGTCTAGATATGGCTGAGGCGGTGAGGAAGTGGGGGCAAGTTTGTACGAGGGACATAAGGGTGAAAAACAGCAGGGATCTAGGTGGAAAAAGGGTCCCATCGTTCTCACGCACCTCGCTCTTCTAGCTGGTCCCTCTTCATGAGTCGTTTTCCACAATGACAGTCATACAAACAAAACAAGCCGGTAAGGCACCAAACAGGAAATAAGAATAGTGTAGAGCAGATGTAGAGTTGACCAATCAGAGGCCTCCTATCTGCGGTCACCTACAATTTTGGGAGACGTGCACCAGAGTGTCTACGGAGGGCCGGGGGTACGTTTGCGTTCACTGCGACACACGCAGACGACCTGGTTTGTGAGTATAAATAAGTCTTATGACCATCCTACATGTTCATCCACATTTTCACTTACCACTGATAAGTCTGACATAGTGGAAAAATTGCGAATCTTCTTTTGGAAGATAAACTTTTAATGAGATATAAACAGCAACCTTTAAACAGAGCGTGCACAAGTTTGGGCATTTCCTCTCGAGAGCAGGGACAGGGTTGTGCATGTGTTTTTTTTAAGTGGGGAGGGTGGGTTTTTTCAAAAATGTGCAAAAAATTCTCCACTATACCTTTAAGTGAAGATCTCCATAACACTTCTATAAATAACTGATATAGAATTTAAAATGTACTGCCAAAAAAATAAAGGAAGACTCACAAAACACATCCTAGATGTAAATGAGGAATATATTCTCATTGAATACTTAAAGTTGAATGTGCTGACAACAAGATCACCCAAAAATCATCAATGGAAATCAGATTAAGCAATGGAGGCCTGGATTTGGAGTCTCACACAAAATGAAAGAGGAAAAACACTACAGACTGATCCAGCTTTGATGTAATGTCCTTCAAACGGGCCAGAATGAGGCTCAGTATGGTGGGTGACCTCGCTCCCTTCAATGCCTGGGCATACTCCTGGTTTTATACCTGTTATTAAATCGGATGCATATCTGATTTAATACCACAGATCTAGTGTCAGGTCTACGGGTCGTTTGATTTTCCCCAGTCCTCCGATGTTTCCCTTCCCTCTGGTTCTGTTCAGAGGATTTAATCCCTTTCCTGTAGTTCTGTGGTCCACCTGTTACATTTCAGATTATTTTTCATCGATTTCCTAGTGCAGAAGACCCAGCAGCTTAGAAAATGTAAATATTACACTAATAAATCTGATATGTTTTGTTCTGAATTGGCGCTATAAACATAATTGAACGGAAATTTATTCTCCATGTGTTGATGTTAGTTGAAGACTCCATTAAGGCCTCCGTAATCAAGGCAAGGATACAAATTAGCTGTCTTCACACTCATTTTCTTAAAGTTGAGTGGAAGGGAAAAGTTTTGTGAGAAAAGACTCTCCAGCAGCAAGGTGACCCCGGCCATGACAGGATTGTGGAGCTAAATCCACGAGTCTTGAGGAGCTTCACAATCTGTAGACTGGGGGTATCGGGATTCACAGCGCACAGAAATACCCGCACTTGGACAAAAAAACACAGAACCAGGCTGTCCTCCTTTCAGAGGAAAGTTACGTTTCATTTAGAAATCATGGTCTGAAGCAGTGGTTCCCAAAGTCTGGGGCGCGCCCCCTAGGGGGGGGGCGCAATGCCATTGCAGGGGGGGGGGGGGGGGGGGGGGGGGGGGGCGCGGGAAGCGGTATGGATGAATGAAGAAAAAAAAAAAAAAACAGTGCTTGCTTGACTGAGCATAATGGACAGTTGTGACACTGCAACCCAGATTTGAGAAGATCTACAGCAAAAAGCAGGCTCACTACAACCACTAAAAAGATGGGAGGATTAAAGTACAAAGAAAAAACTCTCAGGGAGCTGTTCAATGTTTTCACTCCATTTTGCACAGAGGCTTTTTTTAATGTATAGATTATAGCAAAGTTAAATATTGTTACAAATAAAAAAAAAGAAATATGTTTAAAATAACACAGACAACAAAGAATCCTCTTCTAATCTACATTATAGAACTATGAAAAAAATACAGTTACACCACAGTGTTCCACTGTAAAGATGGTGTAGTTTGTTTTGTTGCAACCTGAAGTGTGAAATAAATTTTATTGTAATCTAGGGTGACCACCTGCTAATAAGCCCAAGGGGGGACCAGGGGTATGTTTCTGGGGGACAAAGTGGGACACTGCTTGGTGCAATGGTGCCCCCACCTAACGGGCAGACTCACTGATAGAGGTTTACACATTTCTAGCACATATCACCTTACATGGTATATTAATAATGTCCTATTCCCATAAACATGTGTAATTGCTGATGTATGCTCATGAATAGGCCAACCAATGTGTATTTCTTTCTAAATAAAGATTCATAATACTTTGAACATTCAATGAACAGATGCACTTCCAATTTCGATTTAATTTAGCTATTCAATTTTATTTATTTTTTATTACAATTTATTCACTTTAAATAAATTATAATTTGAAATTAAAGGATTAACAGGAATTGTAGTTGCTCTACACCACAGGAACTGTAAAAAAAAAAAAAAAAAAAGGCTTAACTCACGACTCCAGAGGTTCACGGAACGAGAAGGGGGAGGAAGGATGGTGAACTTGGATGTTGTTTAAAGCAGGAACAGGAAAAAAAAAAAAACTGTTCAGTGTTCTGGGGACACCTTTACCATTGCTGGTGGAGATGCCTCACACTCAGTCTCTTTCTCCATCTTCTAATTGGAAAGCGCGCCTCTAAAAGTTTCTTCCCAGTTAATGCGCAGTTCCAACTGATATTTTACGCGAGCGCGCTTTTTTTTACGTCACCGCGCGTTCTGGCTGCATTCTTGAAAAATGTGTAGACCGGCCACTGATGATTCAAATCACAAAAAAAGTGGTAGACAGACGTTTAAAAATTGACTTCAAACATTTTATCTCATGAATTTGGGCTTTCACTGCCATCTACTGTCATATGAGAGTAAGCACAACTTGACGACCATAAGCTTTTTCATATTTCATATTGATTATGCGTGACACGGTCTCAATTTGCGGGACGAATGAATTGGGCTTCAAACGCTGTGCGCGCACGCGCTACGCGGGACGGGTGGTCACCCTATTGTAATCCAAAGGGGGGCCCAGAAGAAAATCTTTGGGAACCACTGGTCTGAAGGAAGAGTGGAGAGGTCCAGAATCCAGACGGTGATGATCTAAGGCTCCATGACATCTACTGGTTCTGGTCCATTCACTGCCAATTGTCCATGAACCAAAGAAATTAAAGTTAAAACCAAATATCTGTATTCAGAATTGACGTTTGGAGTCGTGATAGATATTCTTTCCCTCTTTATTAAATTATATACCTTCAGGACCCAGTTCAGAACCAGAATCTCCTTCTTTGTACATTTCTAAGCATTGACAACGGGTAGATTATAATTACCTAGGTGTTGATCTGAATAACAAACTGCACTGGACTCACAACACTGAGGCTCTGTATAAGAAAGGTCAGAGCAGAATATTCCTGCTGAGGAGACTGAGGTCTTTAGGAGTGGAGGGGGTGCTAATAAAGACCCTTTATGCCTCTGCTGTGGCATCAGCTATCTTCTATGGAGCTGTCTGTTGGAGCAGTGGCTTATCTGTAGCTGAGAGAAAGCAGTTGGGTAAGCTGATCAGGAAGGCCAGCTCTGTGATTGGATGTCCTCTGGACTCAGTGCAGGAGGTGGGAAACAAAAGCAACCTAACTAAATCAACATCTCTGTTGGCTAATGTCTCCCACCCCATGCATGAAGCTGTTGCAGAACTGGAGAGCTCCTTCAGTGACAGACTGCTGCACCCTAAATGCACCATGGAGCGTTATCACAGATCCTTCTTCCCAGCAGCTGGAAGACTTTATAACTATAACTGTTTCAAACAACCTCAATAACTGTTAGATTAATGCTGATTTTTGCACAGTTGCTAGCTTAGTCAGTTAAATAACATGCTGCTGTCATTTTGCACATCCCTGATGTTGCTGCTATTTTCAAATATCAAGTACAGTGCAGATGTCCATAGTTGTATATTGGTTATTTATTCTCCAGATGCAGTTTGATACTGTTAAACAAAAAACTTTACAGTCCAGTATTTTATTGTTAGCTTTTTATTGTTAGTATTGTATTGTTATTGTTGTATTCAAAGGGATTTTATATTCTATTCTAGATTAGTGCCGGTGTTGCACCATATTCTGTTGCCCATCATATATTGTGACCCAGTATTACTTCGCTCTGATTGGCTACATGTATTTTACCATACATTCCTTTATGT